AAAGAAAAATACCAATTTTTTTTTTTTTTAACTTTTTAATTATTGTATCCTATGGGGCTTAGGTATAAAGTTTCTCATATCTCTAAAAATAGTAAAGGGGAAAATCGCATTTTAAACTTCGAAGGATATAAAAGGTAGCATTTTAAACCTCTAGAGATTTTCACTAGCAGAATAAACCTCCAACCTAATTTGACTAACACATTAAACCTTCAAACTTGAAGATTTTGTTGGGCCGCCGAAAAACTTGACGGAACAGTAAAGGGTCGTAACGGAACAGTAAACGCTGGTTACATTTTTCAAAAAGTGTGTAAATTTCATTAGTTTGGTAATGGAAAAATGTTTTTAGTAATTAATAAAATAAAATGAATTTTTGACATAATATATTATTATGTCGAGTGTATAGGAGTCAAAATTCCCAAACTGAAGTCAAAATCCCCAAATTGAGTCAAATTTCGGGTTCGAAACCGAAAGAGAGAAATAGAACGTAAAGAAGGAAGAATCGGATGCATTCAAGTCAAGATGAGGTAAGGATTTCAACTCTCTCTTCTGCGTATGTCCGATGGATTCGATTTCGTTCTCAACTCTCTCTCTTCTCTTTTTTTTCGCCGTGTTTTGATTTCTGGGTTTGAAATTTTTTTACTTTTGATTTCTATGTCTATTTTCGGGTTTGATATTCAAAATTTGGGTTTAGTTTCATGTTTCTTCTCTCAAATGGCACATGACATTTCTTATGCGAGTTTCCTCTACGAAATTTTCTCTGCTTCATTACGTTTTTGATTTTTTCGTATTTTACAGTAATCCAGAGAGAGCAATCAAACTCACCATTCATTTTGGTGGGTTTATGAAGAATAAAAATGAAGATTACACTTACGAAGGAGAACTGGGCTCTCACATCGTGAATTGGAAAGCATCACACATTACTTGGAAAATATTTGTTGACTTCTGCAAGCTTGAAGCAATGTTGCATGCTCCTATTAGGTTCATATGGTATAAAGAGGCTGGGAAAGAGATGAGGACAGTCAACTATGTGTTTGATGATTCTGACGAAGACATGTTTCCGTTGGTTATGTTGGGGCATAGTTCATGTGAGCTTGAGATCTATGTGGAACATGACATTTCAGAAAATAGCGAGAATGCAATCATTCATCTGCTACCAAGTAGTCAACTTGAAGATATTCAAAATGGTGAGGACCCAAATTTCAGTTCTGAAAGTGATGTAGATGTCGAGAGGCCAAAAGAAGATGAAGAACCTGAGCAATCTGAGGATGAAAAACATGATGAAGGATATGAAGCTGAGGGTGAAGATCAAGATCAGGCTGACGGTGAGGCTGAGTTTGATGATAATATGGTCGAAGGTAGAGATGCGAATGATGCTGGTGATGGAGCAGCAAAGGGTTTAGGAAATGAGAACACAAATCTGGTTGATGAGGGAGATGAAGTATATTTAGATGCTGGTGATGGAGCTAATGATGATCGTTTTCAGTCAGTATTTGAGGAAGGTTCTATGGTTGTACCTGATAGAGAAGCATATAAAAATACTGATGAACAGGATGCAAATGCAAGAGAAGCAGCAAAAAAGAACCAGTTGTTGTGGAAGGTCCAAAAAACAGGCGTGGTAGACCTTGTAAACCACCGAGTGAGGTATTATTAATGGCTTTTGTCTCTCATTACTTTAGATAGATCTTCGATGGTTACTCATTACTAGTTATGTTGTATTCTGTTTACAGTTTCTGAGTCATCCAAAGCCTCCACCAAAGCCAAGAGTAAGAAAGACTCCAGCCACAGAAGTAGCTCACAACCGGTAAGATTCTCATGACCGTTACTTTGAAAGAATGAAAATGATCCCGACTGATAAATGTTTCTTCCATCTTGCAGCAGCAAAAAAACTAGAGAGGCTACAAGTTCTTCAACAGCTTCCCAACAAGCAGGTGAATCAAGCTCGCAGACGCCTGTGATATGTAGTGCTCCAGAACCATCACTTTCATCTGCTCAGGTCAAACCACATGTCAAGAAACCTTCAAGAGGGCGACCACTGAAGGTAAAGAAATCTGCTGTTTACATTCCAAACGGTTGTGGAACATTCTGGAGTCCATACACAGATCGACCATTTGAAGTATTTGGAAATAGAGTGTATGACTGATCTGACCTAAACACACATCCTCAAGAAAACACTCAAGAAAACCAGCAAGAAGGAGAACTAGAAGATGTGCAGCAGTAGTTTGTTTTAGGCTATAAAGTTCGTGTGAACATGTTTATCTATCAGCTTTAATTGTAGACATTGTTTTTGGTGTGTTAAACTTTGGGTTGTTTATCAGCTCTGTTGGATGTGGCTTGTTTTAGACTTTTTTTTTGGTGAGTTAAACATTGCTAAGCTCTATTGGATGTGTATCAACTTTGGTAAACTTGTTTATCAGCTCTCTCTATCGTGTGTGTAAATTCTGACAAACAACAAAGACAATGTCTTTAATCAAATATAACATCAACCGATACTATGTCTTCACTGAAAAACATTGGATCTGAGAATTTTTTAACAAACAACAAAAACATTGAATGTTAAACATTGTCTTCAACCAATACTTACTAACAACATTGGATTCAGATACCATGAAAATAAGTTAAACTACTCCAGAGACATAAGGTATTGTACAATGCTTTTTTCCTTCAAAACCAACACTTCCTGCTTCGGAGCTTCACATTCCTCCTGAGACTGCTTGAGCTGAGTCAATACATCGTTCGGTTTTCCCACATTAACCGTATTCCTGAATGACAACTCTTGCTTCAGATTTCTAATCTCTTCTTTTTGCTCTCGAATGATGTCTCTGGCCTCCAACAAAGCAAGATGTTGCCATCCGTGTCGCTTCTCAACATCAACCCAACGGAAAAATTTACAATTCTCAAATCCGTTATCAATTCTACGTCCTCTACAAGTGTAGAATCTCCGTCTAGTGTTTGTATCAGTCCAAGCTTGGACAATTTTCGCTTCCTCGTTACAGTAACACAAAACGAGTGTTTAATCCTTCTTTACACTCTTTGATGAGCTACCATGATCCGCCATCTACAAATAATTGAATACAAACCTCCATGAACCATAGTTATCACGATGGAAGCAACATTTACCTGGTGCGAAACCGAAATTCAACTTTTTCTAAAGAGGACCGAAATTAACTTACCTCCTCTATCCTTAATTCGTTGTACTTTGCGCCCCTAAACCCAAATATTTCGTCACTTTGTCTTGATTTACATCTTCCCTAATCTCCAATTTACAGATTTCTGGTAATTTTTCGTTTCTGGGTTACACTCATGAACCCTAAACCCAAACTTGATTTGGGAATTTTATTTCGATTCGGAGATCTAGATTTCTTTTGTTCTATTTTTTATTCCTTTAATTTAATTAATTAATTTTAATATTTTATTAATTACTAAAAAACATTTTTCCATTACCAAACTAATGAAATTTACACACGTTTTGAAAAATGTAACCGGCGTTTACTGTTCCGTTAACCGGCGTTTACTGTTCCGTTACGACCTTTTACTGTTCCGTCAAGTTTTTCGGTGGCCCAACAAAATCTTCAAGTTTGAAGGTTTAATGTGTTAGTCAAATTAGGTTTTTCTCATGAGAAAACTTGGATTTTCTGTATCGATTAATCAGTAGCCAGCTATGAATGGAGTAAGCTTTGTAGATGAACAAGAATGGAAATAAAAGTTAAATCAATCTCTAAAGTTTCGACCTTTTTAAATTTGTGCTAATAATCTTCTGATGAGTGATAAGAAACCAAAAGATTTCTCTAAAACCGAAGTTGCAACTATGTCTGTCTTTCAACAAATATAGTGTCTAATGTGTTTTGCAACTATGTCCTGAAAATTTGTAATCTACAAAGGCAAAAGCAAAGACTTTTGCTTAGAGCAAGAACCAGTATTCTCAATACAAGGGTTTAGTCTTAGGTAATTAAAGGAACTTATTATCAGAATAGCTGATTTAGAAAATTAAAATCCAAGATATCTGCAACCAATTCAACGAAATTGATCTTTCTTTAGTGTTTCATACTAAACTGATGAAAATTGATATATAGCATTCCATTACATCAACAAGTTGAAGCAATAGAGA